CTGCCTTCACCTCTCTCTCTTAGAAGAACATGAGGCCAAATTCTTGTATAGTCCAGCACAAGGTCTTTCTGTGGCAGTGGCTTGATGTTATGTTAACTTTCTTACCTCCTACTGGTTCTAAGTTGTATACTGCTTTGTAAACTAACACAAGATTTGCTCAGCTTATAAGATTGTTTGAAAGTCATTTTCTGGACCGTGTACTTTGTACCTAACCAACAGCATGGACCCTGGAGTCAGACGGCCTGGAGTCAAATCTCATCTCTGCTTACTCTCCAGCAGGTAATAGAAGCCATTTTATCTCTCTGCTCCTCAGACTCTTTATTTGTAAAATGGAAACTGCACTGATACCTACCTACCTTCTAGGGGTCTGAAAAATGGCAGGAATTACAGCATGCAAAATACAGGACCTGATGCATAATAAGTACTTTGTTACTGCTAATACTATGAGTATGCATATTCAGTCGCTACATAAATGCATTTTGCACAGTTATCAAAATTTGGAGATATTTCTCTTTCTTTCTTTCTTTCTTTTTTTTTTCTTGAGACAGAGTCTCGCTGTGTCACCCAAGCTGGAGTGCAATGGTGCAATCTTGGCTCACTGCTACTGCTGCCTCCTAGGTTCAAGCGATTCTCCTGCCTTAGCCTCCCGAATAGCTGGCACCACATGTGTGGGCCACCACGCTGGGTTAATTTTTGTAATTTTAGTAGAGACGGGATTTCGCCATGTTGGCCAGGCTGGTCTCAAACTCCTGACCTCAGGTGATCCACTGTCTCAACCTCCCAAAGTGCTGGGATTACAGGCATGAGCCACCGCACCCAGCGAGATATTCCTCTAGAAAGACTCTTATTACTTCAACTAAGATCTTCAATCCCGAGTAGATGCATAATATTTTGAAGCACACATGCAGCCTGTTCTTAAACAGTAAAGTGCACATGAATCACCATGTTGTTAAATGTAGTTTCTGATTCAGGAGGTCTCAGTGGGACCTAAGGTTTTTGGTTCTAACAAGCCAGTCCAGAATCAGCATGAGTAGCAATGCTTTAAAGTATGCAGGGAATCCCTATGCAGCGTTCTCCTCCATGGTCAGCCAGTCTTCTATGATGGATGATTGTTGCTCATCTGACCTTTCCTTGGAAGCTCTTGGCACCACATATATATATATATATATAAAATATATAATAGATTATAATATATAATATATATTATATATAATATGTAATGTATGTGTGTATATATTTTATATATGTGTGTGTGTGTGTGTGTATATATGTTTTAAATGAAAGGATAAACCCAAATATTGGCATTGGTCATGTTTGAGTGATGAGATTTCGGACCATTTTTACTTTGTAAAATACATTTTCATGTATTTTCAGGAAAATAAGTTATTTCCATTTTAAAATAATACAATGAGAGCAAGAGTAAATGTATATGTAGTTGGGAGTAGACTGTCAAAGACTATTGCAAGAGGGGTATTTGAGGAAATATGAGTGCTGTCTGTAGGCAGAAGAGACATGACTCAAGATGTGTGGAGGAATGGCATGGAAGAGCTGCTATTGATTAGGGAATAGGGAAGTAGTTCAGTTATTTTTCTCATAATCTGAATGTCTGGGTTTAGTTACCTCATAGTCTCTGTTAAATAGAGGCAGGCTCCCAGAAACATGTGACTACCAGAGCTGGCATTTGGCAGTGTGAAATAAAGTCAGCTGTTATCATTTTAGGGGTATGTGCATTTTTAGTATGATTTTTAGTTGTAGGGTGGAAAGGTGTTTGTTTCTAGATTAAAAAAAATCAGACATTAGCAAATACTTCAGTTAGTTTCAGTGCTTTTGAAATCACAGTGTCACCTACTTTGCATGGGTGACTAACACAGGCTTTGGTAAAGAATTGGCGATGCAACATTTCTTGTCTTTTAGAAGATTTGGAAATAAGGCCAGACATACTGAGACTGATAATTTCCTTATCTCTGGGGCACAGTTCTTATAGCTGGTGCCACCAGGACAGGGAGCCAAAGGCAGGTTCTTAGCTCTAGCACATAAATTATTTTATTTATTTATTTATTTATTTATTTATTTATTTATTTATTTATTTTTGAGGCAGTGTCTGGCTCTGTCCCCCAGGCTGGAGTGCAGTGGAATGATGTTGGCTCACTGTGACCTCTGCCTCCCAGGCTCAAGCCATCCCCCAACCTCAGCCTCCCGAATAGATGGGACTATAGGCATGTGTAACCATGCCTGGCTAATTTTTATATTTTTAGTATAGACAGGGTTTTGCCATGTTGACCAGGCTGGCCTCAGAACTCCTGGCCTCGAGCGATCCGCCCGCCTTGGCCTCCCCAATGTGCTGGGATTACAGTTGTGAGCCACTGCGCCTGACCCACATAAATTCTTTCTAAGGGGTGTGTCTGGCTGGAGCTGGAGGGAAAAAGGAAGGAGGACATGGTATCTCCTAAGAATCTACCACAAGCTCAGTACTGTGCCCAGTGACCATTTTCCTGGAAGGTCATGGGGAAAAAGGAAAGAGGAGTCATAGAGCTGATTATAATCTGTGACTGTTCTTTTTCCCTACTCTCAGAGGGGGATTTCTGTGGCAGTCCATCTATTCTGGGTGAGGTTTAGAGATACATTTTAGGATATACATTACACATTAAATCAGTAAACTACTGCCTGTGGTTCTTAAATATTTACTATTTTTAATAGAATGATTATGAATTGGTTTTGTTTTTACTTTGGCGTGAAATCTATTCAGAATGGGGGTAAGGAAGGTGTTGAGGTAAAGGCTTGTATCTAAATACACACTCGAATGTAATGCATAACCCCAAGTGAATTCCCATTTGACCCCCTTTTCTCTCCCCTCAGCTCCAGAAACAAGCCCATTTTCCTCTTTCTGGTTGATACCATCCATTCTTCAACTTGAGAGTCCTCTTCTCTGTGGCCCACACTAGAATGCAATGCAGGCTCACAGCTTCTCCACTGCCTACTTGCCCCTAAAACAAATGGAATGCTTTGGAGGATTTTAATATTGCAGACATAGGTGTTGGATTTAAGCAAGTAAGTGCAGGGAGGATTATAATATATCCTGAAAGTATTAGAGTGGTATTTAGTTTCCTGATGCATCATAATGTATTATAAATAGATCGAGCAATTTCTTTTAGTTCCTTTTTTAGTCTTGTCTTTCATCTTCTTGGAATCCCAGTTTCATTCAAACATCCCTTTTAAATCCAGGGACTAATGCTACTAAGCCTCCTCCTTCCTTCAGTAGAGTTTACTCTTGATTTTATCCAACCTATCCTGCAAATACATGTTTACTGATTTATTATAAAGGATATTACAAAGTATACAGATGAACAGCTAGATGGAAAATATGTATAGGGCAAGGTGTGTGGGAAGGGGCATGCAGCTCCCAATCCTTCTCTGTGCACACATCGCCCTCCATGAACCTCCAGGTGTTCAGCTATCCAAAGGGCCACAATGCCAGTGGCTACCTACCCTCCGCCCCTGTTTGGGTGGTGACTCCATTTCTACTACTGTAAAGGTAACCTGATTGATGGTATAGGTAAGAGAAGCCAGCTCTTTAAATTAACAGTACTTTTCCAAGAGGAGGAAATGTTTGGGAAATATTTAATGGTAAGGCCTTGTAATTAAAGGAAGAAAAGTGGGGTGGGTGATCTTTGGAAATTATTTGATATAGTTTGGATCTGTGTCCCCACCCAAATCCCATGTTCAACTGTAATCCCTAGTGTTGGAGGTGTGGCCCGTTGGGAGGTAATTAGATAATGGGGGCAGTTTCTTGTGAGTGGTTTAGCACCATCCCCTCAGTGCTGTATTTTTTTCTTTTTCTTTTTTTCTTTTTGGAGATGGAGTCTCTCTCTGTCGCCCAGGCTGGAGTAAAGTGAGTGGCATGATCTCGGCTCACTGCAACCTCTGCCTCCCAGGTTCAACCGATTCTCCTGCCTCAGTCTCCCGAGTAGCTGGGACTACAGACATGTGCCACCACGCCGGCCTAATTTTTTTGGTATTTTTAGTAGAGACAGGGTTTCACCATGTTAGCCAGGCTGGTCTTGAACTCCTGACCTCAGGTGATCTGCCCACCTCGGCCTCCTAAAGTGCTGGAATTACAGGCGTGAGCCACTGTGCCTGGCCAGTGCTATTTTTGTGATAGTGAATGAGTGACTAATTATGAGATCTGATTGTTTAAAAGTGTGTAACACATCCCCTGCTCCCCCCGCCTCCTCCCCTATCCCTGCTGCTGTCTTCCTTCTGCCACGGCCATTAAGACTTGCCTGCTTCCCCTTCGCCTTCTGCCATGATTGTAAATTTCCTGAGGCCGCCCCAGAAGCTGAGCAGAAGCTGTCATGCCTACAGAACTATGAACCAATTAAACTTCTTATCTTTTTTTTTCTTTTTCTGAGACAGAGTCTTGCTGTGTCACCCAGGCTGGAGTGCAATGGTACGATCTCAGCTCATTGCAACCTCTGCCTCCCGGGTTCAAGTGATTCTCCTGCCTCAGCCTTCTGAGTGCTGGGATTACGGGTGCCTGCCACCACACCTGGCTAATTTTTGTGTTTTTAGTAGAAGTGGGGTTTCACCATGTTTGTCAGGCTGGTCTCAAACTCCTGACCTCGTGATCCACCCGTCTCGCCTCCCAAAGTGCTGGGATTACAGGTGTGAACCACCATGCCCGGCCTAAACTTCTTATCTTTATAAATTACCCAATCTCAGGTATTTATTTACAGAAATATATGAATGGACTAACACAAAATTGTTCCTAAGTTGAGATTCTGTATTCCTGCTTGAAGACCGTTGGTAAGTAGTTGTTCCCTCATGAGGCATCAGCCCCTATGTGCACCTGCCCTGGTGAACCCACTGCCATCAGGCCTAGAGATGAGCCTTAGACCACATACAATGACAAAGCTTTGGACAGCTGCATTCCCATGCAAATTTCTTTCCCTATGTTTTATTATGTTTCAGTTCACATAAAGAAAGGTTAAGAGGCTGCTCTTAGCAATCAGACAAATTTATTTATTAGGTAAAGACAATGAGCAACATCTATCCTGGAAAATGGAGAATACGATGGAAATGGAAGGTGTAAGCCTGGAGTTCATTGGCAAGACAAGCCACATGTATACAGGAAAGTGCTCAGGGGCAAATACACAGGTGCAGTCAGTCCAGCTGTGCTAAACACAATAATGCAGCATTCAGGGGACCCCCAGGAGAGGCAGCATGTAGGAAAGCTGGGTAGGGAAACAGTGAAAGGTGCACAGTGTGGAAATGGAGGCAGTTAAAGCTAACCGAAGGTGTGCGTAAGGGGTTTGGGCATTGAGATGAGGGCTGAGGTGACATAAAGTTGAGATGGTGGCTGATCAAGTAATGATATCACTGAAGGATGATTTCTAGGAATGTCTTTGAAATGGAGAGATGCTATAACAAAAAGAAGAGGACAACTGGAAACTTGTGGAGTCAACAAACTGAGGGTGGAATGATGTCCAGGCAAGGGAGAAACAGGAGGGTGCAGAGAAAGGAATAGGGCACAAAGGACAGCGGTGCAAACAACTTTCGAGTTTTGTCAAAAATTCTCTCCTCTATCACACTTTCTGCCTGACCCTTCATCCCTGCTCATCTCAGTTCTTCTCTGCTCCCCCTTTTCCAGAGCTCAGCACCCATAGAAGTGGGGCCAGTCTCCTCTATCCTATGGGACATGGCTTAGAAAATTTGAGATATAGGCTGTGAAAACTCTGTGGGTGAGCCAGGTGTTCATCATGTGCCTGGGTTCACCTCACTTCCCTCCATCATAATGTTCCCTCCAAGTTCCTTTATGGGATTTCAGCCTGAGATTGTCCTTCCGCAGCATATTTTGAATTTTCCACTTGCCTAAAGCCTGTTTTTCCACATACCCTTATCCTGGATACCAAGACATTTCAACCACAACCCCGTGCTAACCTGACCTGATCTCGATCCCTAATCTGTCCTTTGAGTTTGCTCCAAGTAGTTTCCTATAGGTTCTAGTCTTAAGGGATTAGGAGAACACAAGAAGCAGTTTGAGTCACCCCTCCATCCCCCAAATATTGGTACAGAAACAGATTCGGAAGGTGCAATCCCCACCCTCTCTAGCAGCAGTAATGCAACCTTCACAGGATGAATTAATCGCCACCCAACAGGAAGAAACAGGCTGGGTGAAGCTGGCTGGTGAAGCCTCAGAAGGCTATGGAGGAGAGGGGTTAGAGGAAAGGAAAACAGATGAGCTGGGATATTCCTCAAGGTGCCCCTTGGCTGGGTTGGGTAGGGATTAGCTTAGAATGGAGTGTGTCTGCATCTGCAGAGGCAGAGTCCTCCCCTATGGAGGACAATGGGATCTCCTTAGAAAGGTCCTGGGCATTAGCAATGACTGTGACCCCCTCAGGCCCATCAGCAATTGGGCAGATGGTCAGGGGCTTTTTACCACAGGACCATAGGCAAAAGAAGGGCCGGAGGGGGCCAGAGAAAGAGACGTTGGAGAAAGTATAGATATGAGATCCATCATTCATGTTGTAGAAGGAGATGTCTCCTGATTCATAGTCTAGGAAAATCCCAACTTGGCGTGGGGGCCCTGCCAATGGGAGAGGGGTCCGGAGAGGAGTGAGGGCCCAGTACCCATTTCCATACAACTCTACAGCCCAGAACCCATTCTCAGGAGTCATGGGGTCGAATCCTTTCTTCATCACATTCTCCCTACACACGCCGATTGCCCAGTCAGTCCTGTCTCCCACCTCCACCTCCCAGTAATGCCTTCCTGAGGTGAAGGTCTCACGGCCCAACACACAGGGCCAGGAGTCAAATCTCTCTGGTTTCTCAGGCAGTTTCTGACGTGAATCTTCCAGTCGAACAGATTTTGAATCCTCATAAAGAAAGAGGTGGGGATGAGCTGTGTCTGGATCCAGAGTCACATCAACTGGAAAGAAAGAAACAGCAGGTCTGACATCAGTGAATATTACAGGTTGCAGGACTGTCTTTCCTTCTCCTAAGAAACAGAGCACTGTTGTTGGAGTTGACAGGTCTCCTGGAGGTGGGGAGATGTTTGGCCTGCTCATGGGCCTCCATTCACCACAGAATCCCCCCTTACCAGCAGCCAGAGGGTGATGTAAGAGCTGACTGTGCCTAGGGTCTAATGGGACTCTGCTGGAAGGGGCTTGTCTCCTGGCCATCTTCCGAGGGTTCTCTGTATGCCTCACAGAAACTATTAAGGCCATTTGTCATCACTGGTTTCCTTCCTGTCCTCATCACTAAAGTGTGTTAGTGTTTTCATTTCCAAGTATCATAGCACTTTGAATTCTTAGGGGATAGAGCCTCAGAGCCCTAGAGAAGTTCAGAGCCACTGACCTGCATGCAATGTAGCCTTTTTCCATTCTGCAACAAAAGAGAAAGATAGTCATTGACAGGTTATATAATAGAGAAAACTCTGTGGGTGAAATAACAAGACGACAGAACTTACTGAGTTCTTCCAGGAGTCTCTCTGGAAAACAAACAAAAATACCTCAATGTATAGCGGATGTAAAGGAGGGGACAAAACTCATGTGGGAAACACACAAAGGAGGAACTGTTTAATTCATGACTACTTGAATATTGAAGCATTGCCAATAAATCAAGAACAAGGATTTTGTTTTGCTTTGTTTTTGAAGAAAGATGCAGGAAGTTCCTACATATTGGAACTGGCTTGGGATCAGATTTTTTTTTTTTTTCTTTTTAGATAGAATCTCATTCTGTCACCCAGTCTGGAGTGCACTGATGCAATCTCAGCTCACTGTAACCTCCACCTCCCAGGGTCAAGCAATTCTGCTGCCTCAGCCTCCTGAGTAGATGGGACTACAGGTGTGCACCACCATCCTGGCTAAATTTTGTATTTTTAGTAGAGACAGGGTTTCACCATGTTGTCTGGTCTTGAACTCCTGACCTCATGTGATCCACCCACCTCGGCCTCCCGAAGTGCTGAGATTACAGACATGAGCCACTGCACCCGGCCTCAGATCTTTAATAGTAAGATTGGTACAGGGTAATTGAGTTAAAAGTGGGAGTAGGGTCTGAGGGTGGGTAGTGAGTAAACATCAGGCCTGATAATCTTGATTAGACTCTGCCTATGCCTCAAACCTCTGTGCTTCTTCATATTGGCATCTGTGACTTCAGGAGCCTTATGATTCCTTCCAATTTTCAGAATTCTAGAATCAAGTATCTTCTTCTTTTTTTGAGATGGAGTCTTACTCTGTTGCTCAGGCTAGAGTGCAATGGCATGATCTTGGCTTACTGCAACCTCCGCCTCCCAGGTTCAAGCAATTCTCCTGCCTCAGCCTCCCAAGTAGCTGGGATTACAGGCACCCACCACCAAGCCTGGCTAATTTTTGTATTTTTAGTCGAGATGGAGTTTTGCCATGTTGGCCAGGCTGATCTCGAACTCCTGACCTCAGGTGATCCACCTGCCTGGGCCTACAAAACTACTGGGATTATAGGTGTGAGCCACCATGCCCGGCCTCAAATATCTTCCTGTCATCCTAAAGGAAGTCATTCTAAAGGACTTGGATCCAGTCTGCCTCTGAAGCACTCCTGACACGTAGCCCTTGTGGATTCTATGATGTACCTTTAGAGCTGAATTCATTCCTCCTCTCTCTGGATCTTTGGTTGTATAGTCTCCAAGTGAAAAATATGGACCCAATGGTGAGAAGTCCTAGAACCATCAGGATGACAGCCACAGCCACTATCCAAGGAGTCAGGCTTGTGAGGGAGGAAGCTAAAACAAAATCCCCAAGAAGGACATTAGTTGAGAAACACTGAGCAAGTCTGGCTTTTCTCCAGTTTCCAAAGAAGGGTAGAACAGGTGATGGCCTGGACCACTCTCCTCCCTCATATAGCAAAAAAATAGTCACTCCAATGCCACTCTAAAATTTTCAGAAAAAAAATTGACTTCAAGCAGGAGTCAGCAGAGAAAGAGAGAAATATGAAGAGTAATTTGAGGACAGGATCTGTGAAATAATAAATATAATGGACAAATTCATGTCATTATGGAAATTCCTCCTTAACTATCAGTGCACAATGGGAGCCAAGAGGATGAAGGAGGTAAATAAGGAAGGGGAAATGTGCCTCTGTGTGTAACAGAATGGGACTCATTGACCAAAGAATAAGGAAAGTTCCTGCCTGAACTAGAGACAGTATCTGGGGAATAATGAGAGGATTTGCTTTCCTGAGGACCCTGGAAACCTAGACAGAGCTCTAGCACGGGATGGGAGGGAGAAGTGGGTATGGGTGGAAATGGCAAAAGTAGAAAAATAGCTTAGTCTTTTTTTTTTGAGACAGAGTCTCGTTCTGTCACCCAGGCTGGAGTGCAGTGGCGCGATCTCAGCTCACTGCAAGCTCTGCCTCCCAGGTTCACGCCATTCTCCTGCCTCAGCCTCCCGTGTAGCTGGGACTACAGGCACCCGCCACCATGCCCAGCTAATTTTTTTGTATTTTTAGTAGAAGCGGGGTTTCACCTTGTTAGCCAGGATGGTCTCGATCTCTTGACCTCATGGTCCGCCCATATCGGCCTCCCAAAGTGCTGGGATTACAGGTATAAGCCACCGCGCCCGGCCAATTTAGTCTTTTTGTTTACTTGAGGCAAGAAGGCTCTGGATCAGGAAGGTCTCCAGGGACAAAGCTTCTCTATCTCACTTAGATCTCCTAAAATGGAAAATCTGGAATTTCGCTGGGTGCAATGACTCACACCTATAATCCCAGCACTTTGGGAGGCCAAGGCAGGTGGATTGCTTGAAGCCAGAAGTTCAAGACCAACCTGGGGAACATGGGGAAACCCTGCCTTTGCTAAAAATACAAAAAATTAGTTGGGCATAGTGGTGTGCACTTGTCATCCCAGCTGTTCTGGAGCTGAGCCAGGAGAATCGCTTGAACCTAGGAAGCGGAACTTGCAGTGAGCTGAGATCATTCTGCTGCTGCCCTTCAGTCTGGGCAACAGAGTGAGACACTGTCTCAAAAATTAAATAGATAAATAATCTGAGATCAAAATAAATAGATAAATTTATATGAGATCAAGGTAGATTTATGTCTTCAGTATCTTAACTCTTCTAATAAAGTTGATGGGGTTCCTTTAAGTCAGTGGACAAGAGCTTAGGTGGGGAAAGTAGAGAACTCTGCCATGAGGTCACATCTGGGCAGGTGTCCCAGGTGGTATGGCTCTGAAGCTGTGTCAACATAGGAATCCAGCAGCATTGGTTCCACTAACCTGGTATGAATATTTCTACTTCCTTCTCCTGGCCAAGAAGGAGATTCTGGATGTAGCAGGACACATTTTTCACGGAAGTGTCTCTGATGATCATTGAAGCAGCCACAGTGAACAAACCTTCTTCATCGGGATTCCTAGACTCTGATGTAGATGGAAACTTCTCTCCCTTGGAAGTTCTCCACTGAACCTGGGGCTCTGGGTACCATCCCACTGAGGTGCACTCGAGCCAGATTTCTCCATTTTCTTGAACTTGCATACTGATGTGAGGGTCAGAGCCCAGAGCTATGGAGAGAGAATGTTTTAGTGGACCCCTTTTGAGAGCCTTATAACCATAGAGGTACATAGTTTGAGAAAGAGAGAGAGAGAGAGAAAGGCACAAATGGACTAGTAGTGGGAAGAACTCATCTCCATATTTCAATACGCAAGGAAACTGAGGGCTAGGCACAGTGGTTTCTGTCTGTAATATCAGCACTTTGGGAGGCTGAGGCAGGATTGCTTGAGTCTGGGAGATCAAGACAGCCTTGGCAACATAATGAGACCCCATCTCTTTGGGCATGGTGGTTCTTGCCTGTATTCCTAGCTACTTGGGAGGCTGAGGTTGGAGGATTGCTTCAGTTCAGGAGTTCAAGGCTGCAGTGAGCTGTGATGGCACCACTGCACTCCAGCCCGGGTGACAGAGTGAAATGCTGTTTCTAAAAAAGCTTTTTTTTTTTTTTTTTTTTTTTAAGGAAATTGAAGTACCAATAAAATGAATTTCATATACCTTATCAGAGAGGGATGCCTTGTTGGGATTAAGCCTTTGAAATGTTTGCGGCAGTTTGGTGGACAGACTTGGGGGTGCTTGTCCAGCCAGTAGGAACACTAAGACCAATAACTCAGAGGTGGGTTAGTGGTCTAGGTTGAGAGCCTCAGAGCTGACTGATAGCTCTATGGTTGAGAGCATTATGAGAAAGCTTTGGTGGGGAGGAGGAGAACTAGGACTGGGATGAACAGAGGAATATCCTTGAGTAGAGGATTGGAGATTCTTTGACCTGAGATTATAGTTGACAATTTAAGCTTTCTTTATCTATGAGGTTGATTCAGAAATTTTCTTAAATGGTCTCAACTTCATCTTCCCTCATAATTGTGGCCTGCTATATATAAACATAAAGCTGCTTTTCTTGTGTGTTCAGCCTATTTTTTTCTCTAATTCCACATGGCACAGAAAAACTGAGTTGCGTAAAAGAACTCTTCAACACATTTCCACAACCACTGGTTAAAATCCACATTCCAAGAATGTGTATATATACAAGAATGTATATTCTTTTCTTGGAAGGAGCTGCCACTTTCAGCAGATTCTCAGTAGTGTCTGCCACTCATAAAAGGTAACACGTTTTATGCCATCAAATCTCTAGGTTTTTATAATGAACCTTTAAGATACTTCTTCCCTAAAAACAAAATGTCATTATTTAAATTATACATGATGCTGCAACTGGGGGACCCTGTTGTGAAGCAGGGACCCACATTTCACTCAAGTATTTTTCAAACTTTATGTTTACTTGAATATATATCTATGTATATAGATATATATATATATGCATCTAGATATAGATAATACATGCATATATGATATATATGTGAAAGGCAATGTTTGTATATTATATGTTTTAGATCAGTTTAAGGCACAGTGTAGTATCTAATACATCTATAATGTTTTTAGAATTGGCAAGGTCATTTCTCATATATTGTCTAATTTTATTTTATTTTTTTTTTTTTTTTTGAGATGAGTCTCACTCTGTTACCCAGGCTGGAGTGCAGTGGCGCAATCTCAGCTTACTGCAACCTCTGCCTCCCAGGTTCAAGCGATTTTCCTTGAGTAGCTGGGATTACAGGTATGCCCCAGCTAATTTTTCTTTTTTTTTTTTCGTAGAGATGGGATTTCGCCAAGTTGGCCAGGCTGGTCTTGAATATCCTGATCAAAAGTGATCCACCTGCCTTGGCCTCCCAAAATGCTGGGATTACAGGTGTGAGACGCCCCACCCCACCTTTTTTTTTTTTTTTTTTTTTTGACAGCGTTTCACTCTATTGTCCAGGCTGGAATGCCGTGGCAACCATCAGCTCACTGTAACCTTGAACTTCTTGGCTCACAAGATCCTCCTGCCTCTCCTTCCTAAAGAGCTGGGATTATAGGAGTTGGCCACTGCTCCCAGACTATTTTATTCTTGAAAAATAATCTTAGATAAAAACATCCTCAGTTTTACAGTTAAAATCAGAAAGAGATTTGCTTGATGTCATTTACTAGGAATTGAAAAAGTCAGACCTCAATGCGTACTTTCCTCCTCAAAGCTTATTATTTTCTTTATTGTTTCCCTTTGAGTTCTGGCTTGAAACAAAAAAGGGAACAAGAAGAGAATCTTTTCTATATGAATCAGGAATGTGACAAATAGCCATGCTCTCTAATCTTAGGATGTCAGTCTTTAGAAACTAATCCATAAGCCAGCCTTAAAGTGTGTGGTATGCTTACCACAGCCATAAGGTGTGTAATGGTGAAAAATACAATTTAAATGTACAATTCAGGGACTCAATGAAGTAAATTATGGTGTACTTGTATAAAAGACTGTTACATAACTCTTACATATATTTAATTATTTCATGAAGAAATGCTTACCCTATTATTGAAAAAGGGCTGGAGATAATTGAAATACAGTTCTACAATAAAGACATTGCACTGCTCTCTCTGTGTTCAACTCAAAACCCTTTCTCACTGATCTACTGTAGGACCTTCAGTACCTTCTAGCTGTGGAGTCCTAATCAGGGGAAAGCAAAGAGATAAGACAAGTCTGCCTTTCTTCATGGTCCAGTACACAGCCCTCCTGTGCAAATAACTCACAGTCGTCCTTCCTGTGTCCAAGTATCACCAAACACCTGCAAGTTAGCTCACTGCAACCTTTGCCTTATAGATACTGCACAAAGCTCTCTTCAACAGACAGCATAAAAACTATTCTATAAATTCTCCAGCAAGCCTTTGTTTCCTGGCAGTCAGTTTCTCTTTTGCTGATCCTGCCCTTTTTGCCTCCTCGCAAAGTGTTTTCATAGTTTTAAAAGTAAATCTGCCTTTACAACTGTCTCGGTAAATTCTTTTACCTGCCCCCCACCCCCTCCCCCACCCCCGTCCCCACCGCGCCTCCGGCCCAGATAGTCGTCCCTCCCCGGCGACATCAACCTAAAGGAGATTTTGAGAATGAATCTGATGGTTTACAAAGTAGGGGATCCATACGAAAGTATATACAGCAGGGGAGTCGTCGGAGAAAGTCAAAGCCCGTCTACTCACCAGCCACCTTCAGATGCACCAGGGCTTCTTCGTAACTTCCATCCTCCCTGAAAAAGCACGTGTACTCCCCGTCGTCAGAGACTCTGACGCCGCGGATCCTCAAGGCCACGCACCCCTCGGCGATGCCGTCCTGGACCAGCGTCGCCCGCCCGCGGTACTCGGGCATCTGCTCGGCTTCCTGCTCTCGCCCGTCCCTGTGCACCAGCACCGCCGGCGAAACCTTCTTTCGGAACCAGCGCAGCTCCAGGTGCTCGGCGCTCGCGTTCGGGGACAGGCGACAGGGCAGCTCGGCGTCCTCACCCACAACGGCCAGGATGGGCTCCGGGGGTCCAATGACATCAAAGGGAGCTGCGGAAAAACGAGTGGGATGAGACGGGATGTGGATATGGGAACTGCGGACAGACGCGGACCAGATTCCCGCCAAAGCGTAGTGCCCGGTGCTCTCTTCTCCTTTGACAGCTGAGTTTGGATCCAGTGGAGGTCTCCAGGGAGAGCCAAGTGGGATTGTTTATTTCACATTTATTGAGATATTTCAACTATGCAGGCCAGAGAGAGAGAAAGAGACCTACCTGAATCCAGTTTGGGCAGCTGGAGGAGAATGAGGGTGAGCAGACATCTGGGGAGGCCAGAGTTTGGGAAAACTGCCATCTCCCACCTTTCTGGAGCAGCAAGATAACTGATGTGAGTCCCTCAGGAGCTTCAGCCTAGGAGATGAATGGACAGGAAACAGCTACCGGCTCTGTTAACCCTCCGTCTTCCAAAATCCTCTCTACACTTCTTTCCAGCAGGAAGTGTTCTGGTCATTTGCCCCTGAAACCTCCTCTCAGCCTCCATCCCCAGTATAGATTTTTAGTTTACACTGTGATCATCACCTTCCCACCCACCACCCTAACTCTAAAACTTAGGAGAAGGGAACTGTGAGGCATAACACTCATTAGTTGGTTGCACATTGATGAACAAATCTTGGAATCACTGCACTAAAAAAAAAAAAGTCTCCTTTTTTGTTTTTTTTTTTCAGACGGAGTCTTGCTCTGTCGCCCAGGTTGGAGTGCAGTGGCACGATCTTGGCTCAATGCAACCTCCACCTCCTGGGTTCAAGCGATTCTTCTACCTCAGCCTCCCAAGTAGCTGGGACTACAGGCGCACACCACCATGCGCGGCTATTTTTTGTATTTTTAGTAGAGACGGAGTTTCACCATCTTAGCCAGGCTGGCCTCGAACTCCTGACCTCGTGATCCGCCCGCGTTGGCCTTCCAAAGTGCTGGGATTGCAGGTGTGAGCCACAGCACCCAGCCAGTCTTTTTTCAAATACAAGAATTTGGTATTTGCTTTTGGCAATGATAATAAAGATAAGGGTATAAAGGCAGAAATGGACTTCAAGGAAATGAATTGGAGGAGAAGAGAGAAAAGATGGGAAGAGATGGCACAGGAAGCAGGAGCTGAAGCAAGCAAAAGGGCTTGAAGAGTAGAGGGCTAGGACCAAGGAGAAAAGAGCTGGAGAGAGAGAACTATGTTATGCCCTCCTGGCTTCTCACTCCTTCAGGGAACTGAGAGTAACGGCACATACTGACCTGGGTGATCTTGGAGAAAAAGGCACAAGAGGCCACTGCTACCAAGTGAGAAAGTGGCCCCCCGGGCAAAAGTTAAAAGCCAACAGGAAAAGGAAGGGGGAGGTGCTCTCAGGAAAGCCTGCCTCCAGGTGGCCTGGTATATTCACTTTGAGAAAAAAAAGGATATGAAAAGTTTTTCAGAGAGATGGAAAACTGGATTTGTGGTCTTCAGCTCAGTAATCAAAATATGCATCGATGAGCTGGACCAAATGAAAGGGGGAAAAGAGAAAAAAAGAAGAGAGGCAAGGAAACACACAAATGAGATGTGAGGGTGTCAGCCAGTTATTTCCTCTTTCCAAGCCTCAGTTCTTTGATCTCTAAAATGATAATAATGTTGCACATACCTTTCTTGAAGGGGTGTTGGGAGGATTAAATGAGATTAAACAGGTAAACTGCTTAGCACATAGTAGGAACTCAGCAGAGGATAAATTGTTATTCTATTATTATTTATGTGGGTTGAACAATGAAAGCCCAGAGGCCAAGGTAGCAGTAGCCTCTGGCTACAGCCGTCTTGGTTATTGGAGTGTCCACTGAAGGTGCTGTGTCTGTTGGCACAACTCCATTAAGGGCCGGTCTTAAGGGTAGGCTGTGAATGTGCCAGCTCATGAAGTGTAATTCTGTTTATAGGGCCCCAAAGTTGCCTCCCTGACAATTATTTCTCTTGAAGCAACTCATCATGAGACCTACAATTCCTGAATTTATACTAAACCTATCTCTCATTGTTATGAAAAAAATTAAAAATACAGAAAAATATTTTTATGAAATGGAAGTCACACTTAATCTACCAACTAATGATAGCCTCAATTCACATTTTGACATATTTCCTTCCAAGATTTATTTTATGCTTATGTATATCATAAAAACAATCAATTAGACTTTTTGTGTAACTCAAAATATTGTTCATAGTTGTAAAATTGCCATGGTTGTGGGACATTTGGGATTTTTGTCCTATTATAAATAATACACTTTATATATAAGTCTTTATTTACAAATTGGATAATGTCCTGAGAAGCTGTTTGATAAATTTCCAGAAATAGAGTCATCAGATCAAATGGTATAAGAATATTTCTTTTCTCTTTTCTTTTGTTTTGAGACGGAATCTCTCTCTGTCGCCTAGGCTGGAGTGCAGTGGTGTAATCTTGGTTCACTGCAACCTCCGCCTCTAGGGTTCAAGGGATTCTCCTCTTGCCTCAGCCTCCCAAGTAACTGAGATTACAGGCCGTGCCACCATGCCCAGCTAATTTTTGTATTTTAGTGGAGACGAGCTTTCACCATGTTGGCCAGGCTGGTCTCGAACTTCTGACCTCCAGTGATCCGCTTGCCTTGGCCTCCCAAAGTGCTGGGAATGAAAGGAGCTGGGCACATTCCTCAGCCCCGGGCTCAAAACTCCCTGAGCCTAGTACAAACACATCCCATCCTCCCATCCCACCACATACCGCCATATATCTCTCAAACTCCCTGAGCCCAGTACAAACACCACCTGGAAAGTCTCCAATAAGGAGACAGCCATTCAAGGTTACTGAAAGTGCAAGAGCCAAAAGAATTTCTTTGTTCCCCTGCAACTTTCGGGCTATAAAAAGCAAACGCTCGCATTGTTCGGGGCCCTCTTGCATACTGTGTAAAGGAGGGACCAGGTTCGAACTTGTAGTAAAGATCCTTGCCGCTTGGCTTTGACTCTGGACTCTGGTGGTCTTCTTTGGGGAACAAACAGTCTGGGCATAACAGGATTACAGGCATGAGCCACCATGCCTGACATGGTATCAGCATATTTCCTTCCTGAAATGTTGAACCCATCACACTCTCAATGTAAGTGCCGTCACCTAATCCCTGCTAGCACTGAGAAGTTGTTATTTCACATCCTTACTATTGGGATGGGTCAAGTTAATTATTGTTATTTATTGTGCCTTTATATGATAGTGAGGCTGGAGTTTTTAATATGTTAATTAGACATTTAATACATTCTAGAAATGAGCTTTACAGGCCAGTTGCCCATTGTTTTCAAGACTGGTGCTGGTGCTAGTTCTTAGCAATCTGTGTGAACTTTTAATAACTTAAAAATATCAATCCTGAATTATAGTAACAAACATTCTTCCCAGTTTTGTTATTTATCTTTGAGTTGGAATTGTGATTAAGACGAAAGACAGTTACTCCATTTCACCCACCAGACTGCCAGGAGAATGATCTTTCTGAAATACTAATCTGATCATATTGCTTTTTGCTTAAAAATCCTTCCACTTCTCGCTAGTGACTTCGGCATCAAGTTTATGCACCTTAATCTGGTTAGGAAAATGCTATAGGTCTAGCTTGATCTGGTCAAGAAAATACTCTGGCAGTCTCCCTGCTTCTTTCCTGAGGGCCTTTTCTCCATTCCCCTTCTCCTTCGCTGCCTATCCACCCACAGGCTGAATTTGAAGTGGGTGTGGTTACCTCAACCCACAATGCCTCTCAGGCCTCCAGATAGCAGTGCTTGCCTTCCCTCTTTCTGAATATTCTGTCCCCTCTTAACTTTTTGTTTGTTTGTTTGTTTGTTTGAGATGAAGTCTCATTTTGTTACCCAGGCTGGAGGGCAGTGGCACAATTTCGGCTCACTGCAACTTCTGACTCCCAGGTTCAAGCGTTTCTCCTGCCTCAGCCTCCCGAGTAGCTGGGACTACAGGCGTGCCCCACCACACCTGGCTTTGTTTGTATTTTTTGTAGAGGTGGGGTTTCCCAATGTTGGCCAGGCTGGTTTTGAACTCCTGACCTCAAGTGATACACCCACCTTGGTCTCCCAAAGTGCTGGGATTACAGGTGTGAGCCACCGCGACTGGCCTGTTCCTTCTTATCTTTATGATGAACTTCTATTCTTCCCTCAAAAGCTCATGTAAGGGCTGCACCTTCTGCAATGTCTTTCAGACATTGCATCAAGCAGATGCAACCTCACTTCTAGGGCTTCTCCTGATTAGCCTTTGTCCCCTCCAAGAGAAGTAGACTTTCCTGGAAGATAGGCCAGGTGTATCCTGTGACACTTAGTCCCTTTCTCATGGCAGACACCTGATCTGAGCCCTAGTTTCAGAAGCAGATGTGTTTATTGTCATCTCTTGTTTCCAAGCTTATCTTCCCCTCTTAAACTGAGCTTTTCTAGTTCTTACTCCCTGTCTTCTCATCAGCATATAGACTGAAATATAATTTGTGGCTTTATTCAAACCCATCATTCCTTAGTCTTCCTAGTTTGAGAGGCTCCTGTCCCATTTTCCTCTTCATGCTTAACTTGCTGATCATATCATCTATAATCTATTTCCCCTTCCTCATCTCACTTCTCTTATCGGCCCCTTTCAATGAGACTTTTGTCTCATGCTTTATATTCTCATAAGAGATTGTTTTCAGGGGGACAAAAGAGCTTTTACTTGCAACTTAGGGAGCCATACTGAAAAGAAAGGGTCTGGGGGAAAGAAGAAAGTACTTAGAGCTCAAGCTATTGCATAACAGACACTATTTTGATTGGATAACATCTGGGTCATTTTGACAGAAACCAAGTCATCATCTTACACAATGAAAGACAGGATCTCTGAATTTCCCAAGGTTTAGAGAATAAAACCTCTTGGATGCCCCTAGAATGCCCCTGCCTGTCATGGTTCCTGACTGGGAGAGGCCTTGTGAGGTGGGGCTGCTCTTAGGAAGTTCCTGCTCTTCCCAGGCCCACTGGGAGATGGAAACAAAAACTTCTTCCTTTTAGACATGAAATCATTTGGGCTGAGGAATATAATATGCTTCATATGGAACCTAATGATAAAATGTCAGCATTTATTTCCCCTCCCTGCTTTTCACTATAATCTGTTGAAATTTCTCAGTGTTATCCTCTTGTCAAATTCAATGGTTACTCTCATTCTCATCTTACTTGACTTTCATCACTGAGGCAACCATTTGTGTTTATTTATTGATTGATTGATTTAGAGACAGAGTCTTACTCTGTCACCCAGGCTGAAGTACAGTGGCACAATCTCGGCTTACTGCAACCCCCTGGGTTCAAGCGATTCTCGTGCCTCAGCCTCCCAAGTAGCTGGGATTATAGACATGCGCCACCATGCCCGGCTCATTTTTGTACTTTTAGTAGAGGTGGGGTTTCACTTTGTTGGCCAGGCTGGTCTTGAACTCCTGAACTCATGTGATCTGCCCGCCTTGGCCTCCCAAACTGCTGGGAATACAGGTGTGAGCCACCACGCCTGGTCAATGTCTTTTCTTTTTAAATGTGGTTTTTAAACAGTTTACTGTAGATCAGTTGTGTTATGTGGTACTTATCTACATATTTCTCAAGACAGTATCATATTCTGTCAAAGTAATACATACAAATAGGTTTTTTTTTTTTTTTAAAGGACAAAGAGCTTTTAAGAAATGTCAGTCCCACTTCCCACTTCCAACCTATTACTCCTGAACCCCCAGAAACAGCTTCTTTAAGTGCTCAGTTGTTTTATCTGGTACTTATCTGCATGTTTCTAGAGACAATATCATATCTATGCTGCTATTTCTCTATATATACATTTCTAGATATTACTTTTCTATACCCTATTATGATCAATTATGATTTAGCTCTGTTATACCACCAGTAGTATATATCACAACTTCTGTTCCATATTTCCAATACCGTGGCTATGTAACTATAGTTTTACGGGACCAAGTATCATATATGATTACATTTATTTTCATGTACAACCTCTTGTTTTTTTAGGAGTAGGGAGGGGGTGAAATGAATCACTTTTGTTCTTTGTTTAGTTTTCTTTTTTCCCCTCACAGGTTTTTCCCACTCCTCTAATTGACTCTAAGCACAGTTTCCATAGTTAAGCATATCAGGTAATTTATCAATCCCCTCTCTTCATTCTTCCCAGAGCAGCACTTTGGTCTTACTTAAAAAGAGATTCTGATTTAGTAGGTCTGGAATAGGACCAGGATTCTCACTGCTGGTTGCTCTGGTCCACAGGTCCACAGGGCAAGATCTACAGCCTACAGCTCTTTTTTTTTTTTAATTTCTTTCTTGAGATGGGGGGGGGGGTGTAGGGTGCGAGGTTAGGGGGTGGTCTTGCCATGTTGCCCAGACTGGACTCAAACTCCTGGGCTCAAGGGACTTCCCACTTCAGCCTCTCCAGTAGCTAGGATTACAGGCACGTGCCACTGCACCCACCGAGCTATAGCTCTTTATCTTGCTCCTTATTCAGAAGCTTTCTGTGAAGAGGCAGCTACCAGCTCTGCATAAATTATGGAGATGCCTCTGAGGGATGATTCTGGCTCGAGGTCTTAGGCTTGTTTTACATGTGGCCATACTGAGCCAAGACAAAGGACTGGGGTGAATGGGCATCATGTAAATACTGTATTCTTCTGTGGCTTGCTAGTGAGCTTTGTGGTCAGCTGCTCTTTCTTGGGGGCACACACTATTGATATGGTAGTAATAATCAGATATGACCTAATGGCACTGCAACATTATTATAGTGACATAATTCCGCTATTTATCAAGCCCGTGTTAAAATTATACATACAGAGTTTATATAATGTTATAATTATAATTTGTATAATTTATGCACAACAGTTTGCGTATGTGAAGGTGGAGGGGAAGTGAAGCGAAGATGGTGTGGAGATGAAGATGGTGGACTTCTGTGTGGAAGAGGGGTTAGCAGGGGTTTGCCCTGGGGAAGCAAAAGGCTGAGATCTGATGGAGTGTGGACATCCCTGAATTATATTCTTGGAAGTACTTTTGAAATGGAGAGTTCCTAGAACAAGAGAGGTAGACAGGGAACTTACAGGAGCCAATAAATTGAGGTTGGATTGAGCAAGAGAGAAAGAGTTCAGGGAAGGGATCAAGGTTTGTGGACCACTGTTTGAGTTCTGCCCAGAATTTATCCCATTGCAGCCTCTGAGCTGTCTTCCATATCTGTTCATCTTAC